CGACGCTGCAGTTAACAAAATGCGTACACGTGATTCTCGCGTCAGTAGTTGTCTCGCAGACTAAGAGAACAACGGGCACAGTGGCCAGCGTCGGCGGCTCTTTATCTCTCCGATCCGATCGACCAGAGTGGTCCACTCTCTACGAGTGCGAAGCCCGGATGCCAAAGGTACATAGGCATTTCGCGGACCACTTGGTCGTTAACTGTCTTTGAGTCAATAGAACAGTTGCTTTGCGCTCGGAAACCTTTCAGGTCTTTCCTTCTTCACCTGAGCAAGGTCCTTTTTCATTTACTCGACCTCTGTCAAATTGCCCTGCTCTCTGACTGATTCAGATAGTCCATTGACTCTATTGTAGCCTCTAGTTCCATCGTAAGACATTGTTCTTAGTCTGAGACCCTAGCGAACCAGAGAAGGAACTGCTTTCGAGGGAAGGGCCCGATAAGTATCGATCCGAAAACCAAGCTCGAATCATATTTGGTCCGGAGCCGGTGGTGAGCTCAAGTTACCGCAAGTCTCAAGTCAGGTGTCAAGTACATCGCAGCGCTGCGCGATCGCCGTTAATACGCCGAATGAAACGTCAAGTCAACTTCCGCGTCTCGTTACCGCAACGCAAACACAAGCAACCCTTCCGGAAAGGACCCCCCCCCCATTGGCATTGACCACAAAAGTGGTCCTGAGCCGGTTGTGGAGCTCAAGTTCACCGCAAGTCTCCAGTGAAGTGTAAGTATTTGGCAATATTTTTTTTTAATAGTAGAACATGTGCAAAACTGGAATCGCAGTCTTGTTCGCATTGGACGCCGAGACGTGCAGGGAGGCTGGGTTTGAAGGGAGGCAGCCAATTTTCCCTCAGTTGGGGTCACCTGCCAGCTTCACACTTGGTGGGGGACACGCTGACGCCGCCCCAATCTCCGCCTCCTGACACGCCATAGCATCCGCAGCGAAGAGGACTGTTGATGTGTCATGGCAGGTGATGCTACTCGTTTACCAAGTGAACTCGTCCAAATCATTGAGCGTTTTATGATTGATTGGCGTCTGGTCATACTTCTGCGGGTATGTGGCAAGACAATCGTAGGATGCTGCGTTGGTAAGCGTGGCGAGCTATGTTGCACCCGCTAGACGAGTTGTCTTGCCTCATTTTTGAATTTGAATTGAAGTGCGGAAGAGACATGAAAGACTTATCATTGGGCATGAAGTTGTGACTCCGCTTGAATTTACATAAGCTTCATTGATCTAATCGTGCAGCTAACGCGCATCGATAATCCGCGCATCGCCGCACGATACGTCGCGCACGATGGCGCGGCAGATTACGATTGTCCTGTCCGTCTATCTACTTCTTTTGCGTGAGATAACTCGCCCAAATCACTGAACTACTGGGTGTTCCTGATTGAAGGCATAAACCGTCAGCGTTGGCACCAAAGCCCCTGCTTCTCAGACAGAGCTAACTTAGTCCGTTATTGTTATTGATGAAATTTGGCAGTTCGGTGGTCCGGATGAGTTGTTCTACCTGGAAAACTGACGCGCCATAACCTGTCACTTGATATGACGACAGACACGTCGTACGACATAGCCTATCTAATTGCATGTCGATTATCATTTGGACGTAAGACCTGATTAAAGACAGCTCCCGCGCTCGAGTAGTACATGGTCGTCCTTCCTTGTGCAAGTAGTACAGCCCCCAAGCTAGACTATCCCACTCTCGCGACTCCACAGCGAGCGAGGAGCGAGCTACAGCCGCTGAAAGTTCTAGTTCTAACGCCCGCCCAGTTGGACCGCCCACTTGCTAGATGCCCTCTGACGGAGGGCCGCTCAGTTGTTCTTTGCGGGCATTAATCGGAATGCATGCCCTTTTTGCTGACCGCGCTCGTGCCCATGAATGATTCTGCTCTCCTTCATTACATTTTATTCATTAGGAGCACATACAGTCAACTCCAACCCATCTCGCAAGGTAAAACGCGTAAAAAATCACGAGCAACCCAATTTTCTGTGGGTGGCAGAAGCTCGACGCTCTTGCCGGCGTACACAAAAATAAGCGCAGCGCTACCGTTACCGTTATTTTAATTGGGCAGGCGCCGAGTGTAAAAAGTTCTTTTTCTTACCAAGCAGGGCAGCATCACATGCTTGGGGTATCCCCAGTAGGGAGGGGGGTCGTATTTGGCCGCCAAGAGAGGGGGGTCGTATTTGGACTGGGAAAAATTTATTTCGATAGTCGATCTCTCGTCGCCGTTCAACGACGTTGTAAAGGGGGGGGTCGTATTTACGTCTCGTCGTTGTAGGTTGTAGGAGTGGTAGTTGACTTTTGATGATTTTCCTGTTTCATGCGTACTACACTATATGCCCCCCCCCCTCCGCTGCGACGTCCATGACACGCAACTATCCATGACAGTTTTATCTCGGGAGCTGTCTTTAACCACATTATCATACACTCGAAATCCGTGAGATTAGTAGCGTGGCTTTTGATGGAGATAATTTCATTTAAACACACTTGTCATCATATTTCTATCCAGAGCATAACAAGAATAAGTTGCGCGGGTCAAACTCGAATCTCCACGCAGTAACCTATTTTAAATGCCGCGGGAGACGGGCAAGAGAATCTCAAATTGGCCGCTGCGTCTTCGCTTCGGATTTTATGCAGAAAAGGACGAACGATTGTAGATACTTATGTTTATCTTTGGTAATACATTGTCTAGTCTTGACCAGCAGCACCTGAAAATCGTGCGTCCATTGTAGGCCGCGACGTCGCACCTGAACCGCCCACTGGCGCGGCGAATTAGCGGTTCTCTTGGCCCACACACCCTGCCTGCAAAACTGGATAGTCCTTGAATTAAGAGTGGTGTGCATGGGATTCGTACCAGATTCCCCTGAATGCCTGGGTGGATTTCTCTAGTGCCTAACACCCGCGGGTCCAGTTTTCCAAGTCTGCAAGATGGAATAAGCAGATTTTTTCCGCTTCACAGAGGTTTCCCGAGCAACTTTCCCTAGTTTCCGCGATTCTCCTCGTTCTTTGGGTGATGAAGACAGCCTATCGCCCAGATAGATGGATTTTCCAAAATAAGTAGTCGAGAAGCTGTCAACGGGCTGGCTACCACTTTTGGCAGACTTCCTCAACTCCTCCCCCTCCATTGCCGCGAGCTCAATTGTGCGACGAATAAGTACCCCGTTTACGGTGCTTCTGTTCTCCGATGATCAAGTTCCAAAAGATGAACTGAGTATTCACCTCCGAGGACTCGTCCTAGCCATTTGCGATACGAATTGCAAGTGTAGTAGCATGCCACTTTCTCCGCTTTGAAGTGCGCGAGACGCGAAACTGGGAGCCACTTGCGATACCCAGGTGGCCGGTTCTCGGGACTCCACAGCCGCGCCCCCCCCCACCTCAAGGTCCATCAGTTACGTCGATGCCAAAATCTCGCGGCGAACACGCAGTCAAAAGTAGAGAACAAGTAGGCGTAAGAGAGCGCAGGCAAGTAGCGCGTTTGGATACGGTTAAGCGTGTCACTGGCCGTGCGGCCGCGAGGGGTCCCATGATGGCACCCATATATATCCACTACCCTCAGGCTCCGTTCTCGTGGGCATTTTTGGAGCGGGAGAAAGAGACACGCTACTGGCGGGTACTGGGCGGGACCGCATTGAACTCGCCGCATGAAAGAGCCGTCGCTCGAGTTGAGTGCTACGGATCGCCTTTACAGTGCGCATCAACCGTGTAAGATTCGCATGAATGATGATAATTCTGAAATCCCTTTTTCTACATTGCCTTCACTAACAGTACTGATTTATTATGACAAGCTGAAGATAATCCTTTCAGTTTTCACATCACAGTCTGCATAAACCTAGTTACAGGTAAAAACCGTAAAACTTTCTCTGGAAATTTCGTGAGCTTTCTTGTTCCAAAGATTTCTATGAGAAAGTAGTAACAGAAAACGGCGGTCAACCCTTCAGGGCAGACGTTTGCGTCACTCGTCCCTGAAAGAAAAGACATGTGTTGAGAATGGCAACAAGCCTTCAGGTAATTTCAAAGCAGGTAAAAGTACTTCACAAAAAGCATGCAGAAAGCAATCCCGTTCGCTGCGGATGCTGGTACTTTCAAAGGAGGCCTGATTTGGCGCGGGGCAGTCTGAGTGCGCCGACGGAGGTGTGGAAGACAGACCCTGCGGCCACAGCGTGGAGAGAAATAGGCTCGCCCTCTTTCCCAGGCCTTTGCTTCCCAACGCTATGAATCATTATGCAAGGAATCGGGGAAAACTGACGCGCCATGTCTATCACTCTCAGCTGAGCCCTGAGCCGAGCTCCCTTTGGAGGCTTGTGTAGCGAACAGCAGGCGCCTGAAAAGAACCGGGTTATCCGTTTGCGCAGCGAAATAATAAGTACTCTAGGCGGAAAAACTATTTCTACCGAGTAGGTCTATCACCGCAGCAAGCTTCAAGTTCCAAAAGATGAACTGAGTATTCACCTCCGACCGTCCTCGCCATTTGCGATACGAATTGCAGGTGTAGTAGCATGCCACTTTCTCCGCTTTGAAGTGCGCGAGAACGAACCGGAGCACTGCGATACTCAGGTGCCGGTTCCCGGACTCCACCAGCCCGCCCCCCCCCACCTCAAGGTCCATCAGTTACGTCGATGCCAAAATCTCGCGGCGAACACGCAGTCAAAAGTAGAGAACAAGTAGGCGTAAGAGAGCGCAGGCAAGTAGCGCGTTTGGATACGGTTAAGCGTGTCACTGGCCGTGCGGCCGCGAGGGTCCCATATGGACCCATATATCACTACCCTCCAGCTCCGTTCTCGTGCATTTTTGAGCGGAGAAAGAGACACGCTACTGCAGCTGCGGACCCATTGAACTCGCCCATGAAAGAGCCGTCCTCGGAGTTGAGTGTACGGATTGCCTTTAAGTGCCATAAACCGTGTAAGATTCGCATGAATGATGATAATTCTGAAATCCCTTTTTCTACATTGCCTTCACTAACAGTACTGATTTATTATGACAAGCTGAAGATAATCCCTTTCAGTTTTCACATCACAGTCTGCATACCAGTACAGCAACTAAAACTTTCTCTGGAATTTCGTGAACATTCCGTTCCAGATTTCTTATGAGAAGTAGTAAAAAAACTGGTCACCCTTCGGCAGACGATTTGCGTCACTCGTCCCTGAAAGAAAGGACATGTGTTGAGAATGGCAACAACCTTCAGATAATTTCAAAGCAGGTAAAAGTACTTCACAAAAAGCATGCAGAAAGCAGTCCCGTTCGCTGCGGATGCTGGTACTTTCAAAGGAGGCCTGATTTGGCGCGGGGCTAGTCTATCCCCCACCGATTGTGGAAACAGTCCGGCGGCCACAGCGGTGGAGAATAGGCTCGCCTCTTTCCCATGCCTTTCTTCCAACGCTATGAAATCATATCAGGAATGGGAAAACTGACCCGTGCATCACTCTCAGCTGAGCCTGACCGGAGTTCCCTTTGGAGGCTTTGTAGCGAGCAGCAGCGTCTGAAAGAACCGTTATCCGTTTGCCACGATATAGTACTCTAGCGCCAAACTATTCTACCGGAGAGGTCTTCAGCAGCAGCTTCCATAGTACTAGTTATCCCATCACGGCTAGCGGAAACTGCATCGCGAGTAAGTAGAAGTACTGACTCATGTAATAATTTTCCATGCACCTGGCCTAAATTTGAAAGGATCGCTGACTGTCTAAGGCACACTTCACTCTGATCGTGTGGACGGAGTCACTTGTGTCATAGGTCTCTCCCCATTGGAGCGCTCGACTCTTGAAAGAGGAGCCAATCAATGGGAAGGCGCACTTGTGCGTGCGACTCCGCCCACCTATAGGAACTTTGAAGAGTATGTTTATTGACATTCTGCAGACTCTCTTACCGGCATCTTGCTCAGCAGGACGTTCCTTTCCAGATGGCATCGACAAAGCGGCAAATCAGGACCGCCGGGAGAAGGTACCTGATCAGGAATATCCGTGGGAGAAGGCACCGGACGGGTTGCATTAGGAGGAGAAGAACAATCATCAGGTCTCCTGTTGGGGACTCTGCCACAGTCTCCTTTGCCACGAGGAGGGGATTCTAAAAGAACTGGTTACTTTTTATGTTGTTCTTAGTAAGTCCGATCTTACCGGGGACTTCATCATAACGACCATCCGGGTGGTAACCAGGACAGACTATCTCACAATAACCCTTTGGAGGAACTGGTTGACGAGGACTGTCTGTGAAAGGAAGTGCGGGATATCCTGGGGGAACATCACGATTTCCTTTCGGGGGCGAACCTCGGCCGCATTCTCCTTTCACAACTTTGAAATGAACCGGTGAATCTGAAAGAATAATGATGAGCTGGCCAACTTACGTGATTCGTAACTTCAAAGAGCTTACCAAGAGCACCGTCTGCGGGATCTTTCCTCGGAGGAGCCACTGGACTGGGAATATCCAAACTGGGAGGTGGACTGGACAGTGGTTTTGGTTGAGATGGATAATAACAAGTTCCAGTATAATATGGCCCCTTATTATAGCCTGCTCCACCACTGTGAGAAGGCGGTACGACGGTTGGTGGGTCCGTATGCTGCTGTTCCAAGTTGCGCGGTGGATTTCTCTTCGGCTTCTTCTCTTTGAAGGTAATACGGCTGACTTTGACGACGAAAAACTAAACTATTAACTAGGTAAAATAGAAATATTTCGACTGCGCAGTTGTTCATGAGGTGTTGTTCAAGGCATGAAATTCGAATTATCGCGCAGCAGGAACCAACAGGATACTAACTAGTTGACTCGATACACCGCAATGCCATCGAATCAGTTGCTGCTAATGCAGCGTGCGTGACACCATTTGTAATTTCGCTGCTCAGATTTCTTGAACTACACCATCCGTACATCTTATAAGTTAAAGGCAAACTGTGCACTCACCTCTAACGGTTGTCCTTGCTAAGTGAGAGGTGAAAGGGTCCGCAGTTGCACTAGCGTGCCACTTTCCCCAGTCACGGGAGCAAGCCTGGAGGGTAGTGGTACCCGCTGCCGTAATATGGAGCAAGCCTGGAGGGTAGTGGTACCCGCTGCCGTAACGGTACCCGGTGCCGTCTCAATACTGTACCCTCGCCATCTTCATGGTGCAGCACTCTTGTAGGTACCACAATCCGCGAAACACGCATTCAGCCGTAGAGAACAATCAAAATGGCAAAGGGGTCATGTATGGTGGAGGAATGGGGGTCGCAATTGCATTTATCTTTTGCTGTTCACTTTCCTTGGTTTTCCCCGTTTCAAGCACACGTATGCTCTCCTCCCTTGAATTGTTTCCGGTTATGGACTTTTAGCGGTTTTTCCTGTAGGGCACATTGTTGGGGAATCCCCAACGGGGAGGGGTCGTATTTGGTAATGTATCTGAGAGGCGGAAGTGGATGTAGTGACAAGTGGCGCGCTTACCACTCGCGCGGCGCCGGGTTCGAATCCCAGGCCAACCAAGCCTTCTACCCTCCGGGGACGGTAAATTGGTACCAGATTCGTCTGGGAGGATAAAACACTGACTTGTACATCGGCTGGCCACCGCAAGTCATTGTATAGGCCACATCGCATTCAATAAGCCACTACGATTCTGAATGGAAGTAGAATGCGTGCCGCATCCCACAAAGGGATTGATCAACGGCGAAGACTTTATCCTTTATCCTTACTTTTTATCCTTCACCTGAGAAAAATTTATTTTGATAGTTGATTTTTCTCGCTTCACGCTTTCTCCCCCCCCCCCGCTCGACGGCTCGATTCGATGAGGCGATGAGGAGGGATAGAGGACCGGAGGGGCGGGGTCGTAGTACCAAGCCCTAAAAAAGAGGGCGGCCTCCCTCGTAAACAGAAGAGAATTAGAGGGGCCGTATCAAGTCACCCTTCAGGAGAGAATTCTACGGCTTCGGCCAAAGTCCTCAATCAATGATTGATTTCCTCCTGTTTCACGGACGCTAGAAGGGACTAGAAGGAGGGGCCGTGCTTGCTATGTTGGAAGAGGGGACGGGAACCAGAGCACCTCATCGTTGAGTACTCCCCAACAGGGGTCGCTTGGTCGCTACGGGAGGGGAAGGGGTCATATTTGCTTTGTAGCCTTCTGATAGAGGTGGTTGATTTTTCATTCCATGGTTTTTCCCCACTCACATGTGCTATATACCCCCTCCACCCCCTCCCCACATTCCCAACCAGGGAGGGATCGCATCAAGCCAGTCTCCAGGGGAAGAGGGGCGCAGGACTCGATCAAAATCCTCAAAAAAAGTGGTAGGAAGTTTGGAAAAATTTTTGGAGATGAGTATGCGTATAATCGGTGGTAGAGAAGGGATGCCCTATAGAGGAGGATTTTCTGAGAGGGCAAATTTTGCAAGATTTTCTTTCAACGGCAGAACTTGCTCTGGCCCGGGAATCACCACCCTCCACGCCCTGGGAAAGTCACCAGTGCAGCTGCGGACCAATTCACCTCACAGGTCGAACATCGGTTTTTTTGATTTTAAGCCTGACAAAATAAATTTGTGAGCTGTTAGGAATGACAGTTCTCGAGCCAAAGCGCAGAATCACCCCTTTGGTTCCTCTCAACATGAATTAATTCCACTACAGTACGCGCTGCGCGCTAATGTGTGTTCAACAAAACTACGAAACAAAAAAGCCGATCGCGTTTTTTTTCCGCTTCTTCGTTTGTACGAGCTGGTCCTGTTGACTTTTTCTATGGATATCCTCATATAGTTAAAATCAGCTCGCGAAAGTGTATCCGAGTATAGTTTTCATATTTCTACGAACATTGATTTTTGCGCCGCACCACAAAAGGCACTTGCTTCAGTCGCCACAACAAATTCCAATCCAAATCTGTATAACTTGCTTATTGGGTTTTCGGTGCCCTTGTTCACGGCGAGTGACATTCACTTTCGCCAATTTGGCGCCACTGAGCGCCAGTTCGGCGACACGACCTTTCCCAACAAAATCTGTATAAACTTGCAAAATGGGTTTTTCGGTGCCCTGATCACGGAAGTGACATTCATTTCCAGCCATGGCGCCATTTGGCGCTATTGTGTGCCAATTTGGCGCTACCCCAGTTTTTCGCCAAAATTGATAAAAACCTGCATGGGTGTTCGATGCCCTAATCACGAATCGCCAGCCTTAGCAGAGTGATCGTAGAGCCCATTAGCGCCGGCGCAGAAAAAATGGACGTCATATTCGTAATTAGGATGTCAAGCGACCCGCGTAGGGCACCGAATAATCCCAATAAGCAAGTTTATACAGATTTTGTTGAGAAATGTTGTGGCGCTGAGGTGGCGCCAAGTGGCGCCAAATGGCGCCGGCCAAAACCCAACTGTCGTAGAATATGAGCATACCCTCGGATACAGCTCGGCGAGCTGATTCTAACCATATATGGGTATCCATACAAAAAGTCAACAGGAACAGCTCTATAACGAAAAAACGAAAAAAAACGCGGATTAGCGTTTTTTTTTCGTAATTTTTTGAACAATACGGCGGTACTACTTTAACAGGATGTGAACGATTTTGGGCTCACTCGACCAGCACTTCATTTGCCTTCCTTTTTTCATTTATTATACCATACATCTCTGCCGATGTCTCCTTACCTTTAGAAGCCAGCATATCGTTTTTAGACAATATAAGACGAGCGCGATATACAGAAGCACCCTCAGCGCGAACGTCGAGCATCATTGAGATGCCATCCGTTCTCGCAGTCATTTGAGAGGAACTTGAAAGATTATATAGATTGACTCAATCTGAGATCACTTCATTCTACTTGCTTATGGAACCATAATTCTGGACGATCCTGCCTCAAAACATTAGAAGACTTAATTTTCAACAAAATCAATGCTCTTGGCAGGTTATCAGCACGGAGATTGATTGGAAGCTAGACATTAAAAAAGCACTAGATAGCCCCGCATAGGACACAAAGTTACGGTGTACAAAGTTGTAGTTACGGTACACATCCATAAAGGCTTACTCTGCGAAAGACTTAGGAAATTAAGGCTGCGTTCATATACTCGAAATCCCTGAGGTCGGGTAGGCGTGGCTGCCACACTTGATCTAAAGCTGGCGGGGCGGCAAAGTTGCGTTGTGAGGTCTATGTTCATTTCTGCAACAGATCGAAATCACTGTCTAAATCCAACACAGAATAAGATGGCAGCTGTTTCAAATTGAAGCATCCCACGCGTAACCCGTCCTATGCCATGCTCAAAAGCCACGCCTACTCCGTCTCAGGGATAAGGAGTGTACATTGTGGCAGCCTCCACTGGCGACCATCTCTCGAGGGACTAGGAAAGTATGGGTACCTATCTAGCGTTCATCGCGCGTAGAGAGTATTTAGAAGTAGGAGTGAGCAGGCTGCTCGATTAGACGTCTTCAAATAGTGGCGCGTGCAACCGCACAGCACTACTACAAAACACAACAACACGATCGCTGGAGATGGCAAAGTGCCAGAAGCGCCGCGCGCGACACGTGCCGCGCGGGTGTTGTAGGGATAGAAGCTGCTCGCGAGCCGTTGTCTCGTCCAGCTACAGTATGATGTCGCCACTGTTGCCACGCGCAAATGTCTCTAACTTCTTTATCGCGCCGTTTTGAGGGACGAAAGTGGTATGTTCTTTGTGAACGCGTATAACAGTTCAAAAGCACGGAGTCATTTTGAGGACGACTTGATCGCGGAAAGTGTCTTTAAGGAACCTGCTGTGGTGAGAGGGGGAGGGGTGCTGGTTTGCAGAAATACAAAAAAAGGGAAAAATATCAGAGGTGTTTCGTATTGATTTGGAATGTATTTTCCTCCGGAAAGAATAGGGCATTATGGTTGGTATGGTATGGCGTAAGCTGTCGCCAATAATAAGGCTGAGACGTACCAAATTATTTGGACTATCTGTGTTTCCTTGATTCTGTCTGTTCTCTGAAAATGAGAATTAATCCAATTTTCAATAAAGGTCCGAGTTGGGAGATTTTTTCGAAAATTTAAAGATATTGAGGGAGATTGAAAAGGCGTAAACATAAACAGGTTACACCTAAAATAATAATTCCTACCCCAACAACGCCCCGCCGAAAAGGTAAAGTTCATCAACCCTATCCTCAGTGCAGACGCAAGTAAGCCATTCCGAGCGCTTTCGAAAAAGGTCAAATTTGCTGTTCAACAATAAGGCATAGCTCCTGCTCTTTCCGTAGTTCACCTTTGAATTTAGGTGAGCATCTATCATATGAGCATGAGGAATGCAATGGGAAGACCTATGTAAAGAATGCCGCCAAATAATAGAAAATTGAGAGCTGCATTTTGCAAAAGCACGAAAAAGATTGTTTGGTCAGGTGACGCTCCAAAGAATAGTAATATTTGACGCAAACGGTGCTTCTATAAATGCCCAACATTGCATAAAAATACAGTAAACTACCTGTACAGAATACCCGATATTTGGAATCAGTGCTGTTGAATTAAAGATTTTTCTTGGACGACGTGACATGAACAAATTTTTTTTGGTCCAAAATTTGTAATGAAAAAAGGGAAAGTGAAAAATTTGAAGGTGTCACATATGTAAGAGACATGACGTCAAAAAATGTTTGTCATCCTTGGGAAATTGCTTCAAGACTTGCGGCTCGCTCTCTACTCACGATTGAAAAAAGCGGTATCTTGCGCAAACGGAAACACTTGCGTCGAGATCCGTGTACAACAGGAACAATCAGCAACACGTCGTCCAGGCAAAACCTTCAATTGAAGATGAATGCGGTTCGCCTAATTGTGGAATATATCCGATCCAGTCATGAAGACCCATCTCCAGCTGAGAGTACGCGGCTCCATAGGACGGCGACGATACCGATAGATGGTGTGGGTCAACTTGATAAACTCAACAGCCCTTTTCACCTGGTCATTGACACCATTCTTAACGGCTGAGTTTCCGATGTGAAGTTCTTCAGCCGTTCTTCTTGGTCCGATCTTAGCGTTGAAATCACCGACGATGACCTTGAAGAAGGTATGATCTTCCTTGTAGAACTTCTCCAATTCCATATAGAACGCTTCGAGCTCATCCTCGCTTACATAGCTTAAAGGCAATTCCCGCGACCACACTTCATAGGTGATACAGTTCAAAAAAAGAATTGCCGTGTGCTTGCTGACTTACTCAAGAAGAGGGAAGCTCGAAAACCGCCCGCAATAAGACCCTCTTTATTGCTATTGTCCTGATCACCGGACGAGCATAGATGATCAAGCATCATCGTCGGTCAGCCAAAGCGACGGATACTTTGTGAGTGGAGAGAGAGAGGGACCAGAAAACGGCCGGTGAGAGAGCACAGTGGCATCTTCACTATGACACGTTCGACGCAGGCCGGCATGGGCCTATTGGGTGCCAATGGGCCTAAAATCGATATTGGCACCGTTTTGCTTTCTGGTTAGCTAGTCTTCTCGACTTTTTTGCTTACAGTACACGCTCTGCGGGTGCCTTACCTGTTCACCCTGACATCCAGAGTTCAAGCCTTAATTTTATCGCGAACCGGTTGCCGCTTTAAAGAAGAACCGCGATTACTCGCCATACTCAAGATTGGTATTAGGGGGTTTCATATAGACGACAAGGGGTTGAGTAACTCGACTGTGAACAAAAAAAGCACAAAAAACATGCCACCTGCCCTAGATAGAACCCCATTTCGATCCTGTTTGTACGTGCCCAATCAACCCTATCTCCACTTCTACGCCTCATATGCCTGCCGTTTCACCCCCCATAAGATTTCTGACGATCGTTTACAGCGGGCGATTTATCATGCTTTTTCGTCACTGCAATCTCATTTTATTACTGGAAGATCGGTCGCAATTAGCGGGCGGGTCTGGGGGCGGAAAGTACTGGTGAAAAAAGGAGGAGCCACTGACTATATTGCGCTACAGCGCCCCTCCCATAGAATTTTTTGCCGCGAAACCGGTACAAGGTTGTTCGTCGCGGACCACTCTTTAACTTCCTGACGCCAATTTTTCAACTTTGATACCTGCATTTTCGTGGACCGTGCCTTTAACGTTGGTGTAGGCGACGAAAATGGTGAAAGCTGGAGTTGAACCACATCTTCTCAATTGCAAACGTCCCATTTGGGTCGTCAGATTTTCGTACGAATCGATGTTCATGGCCAAGTGCGTGTTGACGAGGACGCCCACACGCCAACGCCTCTGCTGTCGCATTGGTTCGAGAAACAGTTATTCTCCCAGTTTCGTACACGCGTGGTACGGGCGATGCCTTCTCGTCCAGTTCGATGACGTCGTACGTGATCTTCCTGGCTTTCATCATCAAATCTTCGATGGGAGCTTCCGATGCAAGCGTCCGCACGTTGTACAGATCATCATTATAGTCCTAGATAGTTTTGCATCTTCCGTTTGGTCTTCAAGATTCTTCTAGCTCTCCGAGAGCAAACCGCTGCCATCACGTGGCTTGATAAATCAGTTCTTTACCAACCCACCTTCACCATCAGTCGATAGCGCCGGAGCGCGCAGGCATTGGCACAATCCGTAAGAATCCGCACATCTCTTGGGAAATGTTTGGCCTATCCTCGAGATATATTTTCTAACTGGCCTTGCATATCCAGTGCTGTTAATCAGTCATCCAGAT